GATAAATCGATTTTGCCTACTGTTTTGCCTACTATTTCGATTGATAAATCGATTTTGCCTATTGTTTCGTCTGATATGTAGTTATGTACTTGAAGGGATGTAACATGAAATGAGTTTTTAATTAATTATTAACTTCTTGATCTATCATAACAAAAGTTACTTCATATTCATGAAAAGATAATGAATTTCATTAAAATCTCATTTAACGTCACATATTTAAGGTAGTGTTTTGTATGCAGACTGGATGAGACTGAATATGATAGGATAAGATGGAACTGGACAGAACAAGACATGATTGACCTAATTATCTGTTATGTGTTTGGTACAACTAGAACATCACTGGACAAAACTGTTAAAATGACTGAATTACTCCCAAATAGTGTTTAATATCTTTTTTATCATATAAGAATATCATTTTATTTGTAATATGCCCAAACACAGGGCTCATGGAAACATATCGATTGGATAGATACTGACCGATGGATCCGGATTTGTCTTTTCGCACTCGTCAGTGCGGCTTTAGGCTACATGGCTCCCGACAACCGGCAAATTCGCAGCAATGTTTATGCTTTTGTGGTCGTGGGTAAAAGTAATGTCAATAGTTGATACGAGCAGCTGCTGCAGATACAAGGTTTGATGATTTTAATGACGAGAATCTTTAGGGAGAGTTTTCAGAATTGGAACTCAGAAACCTACAGTTTTATGGCGCTGTTTGGTTGGTTTTCCGTTATGTCCTGTATAGATAAAGCTGTCTGTATGGATTAATCTGGGAGTTGGAAGTTTTTTATTTGGGATGATTTTTCATAGATGGAAGAATCGTGTTTTTTAATTAGGAGGGGGAGGTTTGCAGAAAACTTGGCTTTCTGCATAAAGCTCCGCCCTAGATGCTTATTAAATAAGCCACTTTTTATGTCATTAAGTCACTATCATAGCTGATCAAAGAAGCCGTGAGTCTTATTAAACTCATTAATCAGCTAACAAAAACACCTATTTTGTTCTAATGTAAGGAAGAATTACCGGAAAAATATTCTAGCCAGCGGCTTGGTGCGGTTCATGCTCCAAAAACCACTCAGTCGGCCACCATTCAGGCCGAATAGGCTCCACCTTCACGTCTTCTTGTCCTTTGATCACCAAATTTCCGGGTCCTTTAAAAGCTTCGTTGAGCCTGAGGAGCCCAAGCCCACGAGAGCCAAGAACAGTGGTCACAATTCCAACTTTCTTGCCGGATTTTGATGCTATTACTTCTGAACTGGGAGCAACCTTCGGCTCAGCCACCTCTGAGAACAAAAAACCAATAATTTCTATACAACTTAAAACCATTTTTTGTATTCCACAACTTTGAGCTTATAAAAGGCATACAAGATAGGACATATCAGTTATTCAGCGTATGGTACAACAGAACTGGACATGATAAATAAAATGACCAATTTACTCCTAATGAGTTGTATATATATTTTGATTAATTTATGTAATTTATTAGATCATAATAAAATAAATATTTTTTATAACAAAATGTATCATTAGAAAGTTTTTATCAAGACGATTAAAAATGTACCAATATAACATTAAAAATATTAAAGAAGTCTTGTCAAACGTGGAACATTGATCCCTATGTTCTTTCCTATCCAATGTACCAATATCACCCTATGGGACGGGTTGTTACAAGAACGATTACCACTTACGATAATTTTTGGAAAAAGTTGGGTTTTTTCTACCTTTTCCAGATTCATTACGGAACTTGAGCGGAAGCAGACGCTTGCGGATAACCCCGCGGTGATGGGAGCGAGCTATAAGCTCTTGGCCCACATAACACCCTTTGTCAAAGCTTATGGCATTTAAACCAGCAAAATTGTACTCCAATGGAATTGACTCACCTGAATCCCATCAAACATTCACAATTTATATAATAGAATCTCAACATTACATTTAGAAGGGTACAAGATTTGCAAGAAAGGCGAAAGGGTCATTGGCTACCCGAGTTACCGGTAGAGCACAACCTTCCGAGAGCTCAGAAGTTCAAACCTCATTAAACGTGAGAAGTTGGAGTGAGTATGTGCCGTATGTAAATATGTTATATACTTCCAAATTTGATAGAAAGAAAGTGTACCTTTTGGCATCTCAATTGAGCCTTCGGCAACTCCCTTCTCTAATCTCCATAGAAGGTAATTTTCTTCTTGGGTTTCCACATCAGCCTCGACCATAGGTGCTGTAACACTAACACCCATAAGAAGATGCAATGAGCTCGGAATCATAACTATCAAATTACAGGTCAAACTTATGACCGGTCATCGGGGGAATGTAAAAGAACTCACGTGTGACGCTGGAAGGGAAGATTCCTCGGAATCCTAGGCAATTGAGTCGAGGATCTTTATGCCATTGCCAGCCACCGGTATTTCCAACAGAAGCAGCTTCAGGATCTGAAGGTGCCCTCTTATGGAGGTCGACACCATACCGCTGCCAACAACACAACTCTTCTCCCACATTCTCAATATCAACCTTCAACCTCAATCTATATCTGTACCAGAATAAACCAACAACCGCAAAAATGGTTTTTTTTAATAAAATAAATTCATATTTTCATAAAGATTCTTGAAGGGATACCTTTTGACTTCGAAATCAAATAGGATACTATCCAATTGGGGTTTAATCATTTGAGAACTCCAAAATTTGTGAGAATAGTGAGAACTTCTACGTTAAAGTTTTGTGTGACATGATTTTTTTCCATCAAAGTTTAATATTTAATGTATTGACTAGCATCTATTTGTTTCATATGTATTCGGTTCATAACGTGAAACTTTTTTACGTGTATTTTTTGTTTGACAACACGTCAAAAAGTTTCACATTGTGAACCGAGTACATGTGAAACAAATATATATTAATCAGTACATTAATTTATAGCCATAGATGAAAAAAAAAATCATATGAAATAGCACATGATGTGCTAGTTCTCAGAGATCTCAGGAATTAGGGAGTTCTCCCAAAAGAAGGTCCCCTCTTTCCAATTTATGTGTCTATGTACAACTACAATGAACTGAATCTACAGCTGTTAACAGTTTAATTTCGTAAAATAGCCACTGCAAATTAGGGGGAGTTTACTAAACGCTTACTGGGTAAGCGCTTATTGATATCACTTACTGATTGATTGAGCATGATAAAAACCAAGAATCTTACCCGGTAAAAGGCATGGCAAGAACCGAAAGTCTTACCCGGTGAGTGAAACGACTCTTACCCAATAAGCGCTTACCGGTTTAAAAAGCTTACCAACAATCTATTTTGATGGCCAATAATGTTACAAGATAAGGTAAGTGAGGTCGATATTTCTTGCAGGTAAGAGTTTGGTAACCGGCCCCTTGGTCAAGAAACACAGGCAAGAGATTATGTTAAGCAGGCAACTTACTTCTTTAATGTCTCCACTAGCTCATCCAATACCGAACAATCAACATCCGCAAGCAGCACCACCTCATCCTGATCGGATCGACGTCGTGACCCACTTGGGTCAGGCTTCTCATTGGTTCTGGGTGGCTCGTACAGAAACATATCATACAAAAACCTGCCTTGTGGCGTCAACATCGCCGCATAGAGAGAGCGAGCTGACAAAGCCAGCACATTAGGGGTAACCAAGCTTGCTTTCTCATCAGCCACGGGCTCACCAAACAGCCGGACGTCATTTGTCAATAAACCCTGTAAGAACTTGATYGTRTCGGGTCCACGGAACCGGAYGACGGATCGGGTTTTGAGAWGAGARGCCAYTGGACCCACATYGTCAAGGTGGGGTTTTTGRGAWGAGAAGCGATTGRTTTTGAAAMTGGGTCTTAAGGATCGKATAKAGGGTYTGAAAAACTTCATATTTTTCTTGAATTAGCTTGATGAAATTGGGGTTGAAGGCAAGAAGAAGGTGTTTGTGGGCTTTTTGGATTCGATCTTAAGGACAAAACCTCACATTACAATGAAATATCTTAATGTTGAACACCTTCAATCCCCTTTAAAACATAGGTACAAAAAGAACTTCAGCTTTTCAGCTAATCTTTCTGATTCTTAGATATTCTCCTATGAGGGTGATCTTGTACTGAGATACATGCATAATTTTTAAAATAAAAACAGTCAGCCAATGACCTCGTGAGCTCATGAGTTTATATAGCATTCATAACAGAGTCATAAAGCATAATAAGCAAAATCATAAACGTAATGTAAGACTTTACATGTCATAAAATCCTTGTCATACTGAAAATCTGTTGAGTTCAAAAGAAGTTGCTTCAAATTGGTTAAGTAGAATCCTGAAAATGACTTTTATAGACTTCTGAAAGAGAGAGATAATTGACTAACTGATTAACTCTGAAGAGATGTTCCGGAGATCTGAAGTGCAGAATTCAGAGTTCGGAAGAAGAGCTGAAGGGACTAAGTGTTAAATCTTTCAAAGTTCGATAGCTTTCAGATTCGAGAAGTCTAACTCTGAATGAACAAGACTTGGAAGATTTTTACATAATCACTTCTCATAAACGAAGACTTCTTCTATGATATTAGAACAAGTGTTCAAATGTGATTAGTCTGTCTTGTATATCTTGTAACTGTATCTTTCCCATTATAGTATAAGAAGGAGTTAGTTAGTGCTAGTTAGATACTTGATACGACTCTTTATAGATTCAATTGTATAGATTTCTCTCATTCGATTTTATACTCATAAACATGAAGATCAATGACAGGATGACTTCCTTGCTCCAATTTTGTGTTCTTGATTAATTTTTACTTTGTTATTCTTACATTCTTGATCATCATCATCAGCATACGGGAACTTTCAAAATCTCCCTTTCGTTGTTGTATGCAACATGTGGATCCATTTGACACTGATTATAAATTGCTTATTATGTTTCTAGTGCATGAACAAATTGCATACACTGAAACCTTTACTTTGCGGCCTTTTAACTTTGACCCTAGGGTCGGTCCTGAGGTTTGGATGCCCAGTGCGAGGAGCCAAAAAATGCCCCTAATATATATAGAAAAGCAGACAAAATATATTATTTTAAGGGGTTTGTAACCTAATCAAGTTAGGCGTCTCATCCACATGCCGATTTTTATTAAATATAACAAAATGATACAACGGAACCCTGAATATCAATTATCTTATCATAAAATAAAATATCAATTACCTTATCATAGTTAATATTTGCCAAAAACTTGCTTTCAACATTCAAAATTGCTAACCCGTTCAATCTTTATTGGCTCATAATAGACCGCAAATATGACAACCAACAATATTATGAACTAATGAAACTATGGAAGTTAACATAACACCAACAAAACAATTATCCAATTTCAAAATCGTAGCCTATCAACCAAATGAAGTCAAATAAACAAACCAGTTTAGGCTATTCAAAATGAAAATGGAAGTCGGATAAATAAACATGCATTTAAAGAAGCATGAACCAGAAGCATGAACCATATATCAACATTCATGATTCATAAGCAAACCCAAGATCGAATTGAGTGCTTGATTGCTACTGTGCTATCATAGATTCATAAGCAATCCAATAATTCAAATATTCAATAACAAATTAATATAACTTGAGTGCTATCAAATATCAATGGAAGATGAAAACTCGAAAAGTGTCACTGCGCAGATTCGGCTATTCGAAATTCCATCAGAACTTAGTGAATCACTAAAGTAAACAAATAGATGATGGAAACCAACAACAATTAAACTCTGGTACCTTTGGTAATCTGCTAATCGCTTGATGGATGAATTAAATCGAAAATGGAAACACTTAAGAGGTTAGGGTTCTTCAAATCGAATGGTTGAGCTTGAACACCTTGGACAAATCAAGAGGTGTCTCATGAAATCAAATCGAGATTCGAGAGTGCAAGCAATGGAGAGTCGGAGATTTGAGAGTTCCCTGAAATCGATCGAGGCCAGGGCAGCCCCGTTCGAGATTTGTTTATGGTTACTTAGGTTTTTTTTTAATGCAAATTGCATGAAAAATATCCATTTATCACATACTAGTCCCATCATCATGATAACCAGCTAAACGGATGCTTAAATATTTACAACTTTATATTTTATATACCAAAGTGAAAGTTTTAAAAAGTAATTTACTTAAAATATGAATCAAATTAAATTAGGTTATTTTTTCATACAATTTTCTCTTTTTTATGTATAAAAATTGTGTAGTTTAATTTGTTTGTATCCATGGTGTTTTTTAATTAGGTCTAACAAGTTAAAATGAAAAACTTGATTTTCTGTATAAATCCTCCCATAAAAGTTAACTGAATAAGTCATTTTTTATATTAAGTCACTATCAAATAATTATGTATAGTTGACTGTTGATCAAATAAGCTACAAGTTCATTAAGTTGTTAACAAACAGACTTTTGGTTTTGTATGGATTAATCTGTCTGTATATATCGAAAAAGTTTTTTTTTTATAAATGGAAAGGGTTTGTTTTTTAATTAGCAGAAATATGTTTGGAAAAAGTTGGGTTTTCTGCAAAAAAAAACCCCACTAAAAGCTTGTTGAATAAGTCACCTTTTATATCATTGAGTCACTACTAAATAATCATGTATAGCTAATCGAATAAGTTAACTCTTATTAAACTCATTGAGTTGCTAACAACAAACCCTATGTTATATATTTTTTTTAACATTAATCTTCAGTTAATTGTCAGTATGGTAATTTGTTAGTGATGAAAAGTTTCAAATCTTGCATCTAATTTTCTAAGACTATTAAACAAAAATAGATACAAAAGTTGATGTTATTATACTGATAAACGGTTTATTACGTATGAATTGGGTCTTAATTATACGAGGAGGGGGATACTGACCGAATGTTGTATGAAAACAAGCGGTAATAGACCTGAAAAATCAGATAATGTAGAAGTTTTATAATACTGGTAATGCTGCCTCTCGCAAAGGTGTATGTAAGTATCTACTTTCCAATTCTACTATTAATTATGAGATGGAAAAATTTATTACTCTCGTTACTATTAAAGGTAAATTTGTCCTTTAGTTAATTACTACAAAATGTAATAATTACATATTTCTAAAAACCGTGTCCTTTCCAGTATGGACATTTATTTTGGAACGTAGGAAGTATACAACGGGAGACCGAAATTGTACTCATGCTTGTTGATTGATAATAACTTGTTTTACGTTTATCCAAGCGGATCTCCTTAAAACTCATAGCTGAAGTCGAAGTCTCCTTCAAACCGAGCATTTATTGCATTTAACGAGTCTAGAAATTCGATACTATCATCGGTTCCGCCACAAGATATCGCCATTTGCGTTTTTATATCTTCTCTCTCGTCCTCATTGCTTGAATTTACATTTTTCTCCACGAGTTCTCTAAACATTGATGACCTAAGTAGCAGGCCCAGTGCTGTTTGTGAAGATTTTTGGCTCGGACTAAACGGTAATTTTGTTTCCGGTGATTTTTGTTTCCCATATGATCTTTGACCCTCTGCTACGAAATCATGCGATTCTAGGAACGGGGTCTGTGGTTCCTTGAACGTATTTGATGACATCATGTTTGATTTGATGTACGTTTGTGACACGTGACTAACAAGTGGAGTTTTTGCGATCGGCTTCAACCATGTGATGTAAGTGCTCAACTCAAAGTTGGTAACAGCGTTGATCCCTCTGTACTCGATCGCAGCAATATCGTAAGCACGTGCCGCCTCTTCTTGCGTGCCTGGAGAACATTACTGATTTAGACATTTATGTGGACATGAGATCTGATAGGATTCTTGCAGGCACCCAATTTTTTTGGTAGGATCTAGTAGAGGCACCATTACGAAATTGGGTTTATAGGATGTAAAAAATTGTCTGATTGTTCTAATAAAATGTTTTATAAAACTTAATTTATAGAAAGAAGCAACAAAACGTCTTATCTAAAGATGTTGTAATAAGTTTATATGATATTTTTTGGGTGATAACAAAATTTTTAAACATTTTCACTAAATAGTTGTATTAGTTATTTTATAAAATACTATTTGAAAAAAATGTCTTCTACAAACAAGTTTCCTATAAAAAGATGTGTTCACATGAAACTTTTGAAAAATGTCCAATAAAATAGTCAATACAACGGTTTGTATTAAAAAAAACATACTAAGAAACTTGTTAAGATGCTCAAAGGCAACATATAAACTTATTACAACACCTTTAGATATGACGCTTTATTGTTTGGTCTTATAAACTCGATTTTGTGGTAGTGAGTCTCCCGATCCTAGTGGTTGAGTTAAGGTTTGCGTATATATTATCCCCCCGAAACCCTACTCCAAGTGGGATATACTGGGTTCGTTTGGTTTGGTTTGGTTTATAGAATGTGACTATTGCAACTCTTGTGCGACCGTAAAGTACTAATTTTTAGTCTGATTTAAACGAGATTACTTACTGTAAGTTCCAAGATACAGGTACTTGTTTCCAAAAACTCGCCCAATCCGTGCTTCCCACCTCCCGTTATGATGGTGCCTTGCTACACCCCTATACTTCGACACCCCTCTCGAAAATCCACTGCTCTTCCTAAAACAATTAACAAAAGAGAAATGTCAAAGCATAGCCATCAGATTCTCTAAAATAAAGAAAATGGAGATTTTGGCGAATTTTTAGTAATATTTTTGCTCCAACAGATTTTTCAAAATGGAGAAAGTAGGAGATAGAGCGTAAAATTCTCCAAATTTAGGGAAATCTTTAAAAATGATTACTATGAGAAAGAAATATTTTTTATTATATTTCCGTAAATAAAAAACCTTAAATTAAATGTTTAAGGAAAACTTTATTAAATGTATGTAATATTTTAGTAAATATTGTAATATCTAAAATGGAAAAACTGTTGGAGTTAGTTTGTATTTTTTTCAAAAAATTTAAAATTTAATTTTTAGTTTAAATAAAATTTGAAAAATTTGTTAAAATTTCTTTCACCAAAGATATTTTTTTAAAGTATGTAATATTTATATACAACAAATGCGACAAATAAATTCACACACCCTTCTCATTTTTGATGAGGTTAGATCAAATGCTACAATACTGCTAGAACAAACAGAGATATTTTTATTGGTATATGAAATCTTATGTAATTGATTATACCATAACTAACCTTCTTAGTGAAGCCAAGTATTCTTCCTTTGTTAAATCCTCCATTATTTCAATCTCTTTCTCATAATTAGATACCTTCACAACAATGAAATAAAATGTCAATGAAAACTCAAGAAAAAAAGCATTTGCTTCACAAAAAATACAAATCTTTGAGCTTTTAGTTGATAAATTATTCCCTCTGTTTCAAGATAAATGTTCGTGATGAAAAAAAAAACACAATTTTATAAATGTGTAATTTTTAGAGACAGTTTGGTTCATGTTGGGGATTGAAAATGAGAATGAAAATGATAGGTAATGAAAATATGAATGAATTTTTATTCCCCCCAGTTTAATTTGGAACGAAAATTTGGGCTTCTGGGAGAATAAGCTCGTTATATTATATAATATCGAAAGTTTTTTTATTTATTTTCATTCTCATTGATTACTGTTTAATACCTCTAACCAAACACCTTCTTACATTTTTTATTTACTAATGACGATTTTACTCTTAATAGAGCGAGTAATGAATTTCCCTATTTCATAATTAGGGATAGAAATGGAAACTAACACTTACTTTTGAAGAGTCTCTTTCTTTTACAAGCCCAACAATTTGTACAAACTTACAAACCAGTTTTCATTTGAATGACACGTGTGAAAATGCAATGTCTACATAGTGTTGTTTCATGTATGAAACAACATAAAAACTGGTTTGTGAATGTGTACAATTTATTGGATTTTAAACGATAATGCATCTACTTTTGAAAGCGAAAATTTATTTTGAGACGAAGGGAGTAACGAATAAATTGACTTTTTAACCATCATACTCGGAGTTTCAGTGCAAACAAGCCATCATTCTCGCAAATTGCATTTCAATACTTCCCTAAAAACGTTCGTTTTTCAAATCACAGTTTTAGTTTTTTTTTTTTCTGACATTTCTGCAAAAACAAATGGTCGTTTACAACACAAGAAAAGACTAGTACAATGGTTTAAAAAGACATTGAGACGTTCAAATAAGAAGACTAAATATCATGAGAAGATTTATATGTGAATGATTGAAAATATCTAATTGAACATGCACATGTGAATCCATATGAGTAATTTGTAATTTCGGTTCACACATGCATCTTTAAATAGATTTTTTTTACAAAAAAACTTAATGGATTCACATATGAATTTTCTCTTTTTACATTCTCACAGATATTTAGCATTTTTATTTGAACTTGTCTGTATAATCAAATACTATAAAGCTAAGATCCATACATGGAAATTTGTAAATGTTGTTGGTCCCCAATACTTGAGTGCAGCTAGATCATATGCTCTTGCTGCAGATTCTTCTTCATCATAAGCTCCTAAGATCATAATTGAACGGAATAAATAAACTTTATGGTATCAGGGCAGGTTCGGTTTAGAACTGTATTTTCATTGGGAACTGGGAAATCATCGAGAACCTATCATGTGTTTGGAACGTTCATCATGAATGTTGTAAAAAATGTATGTATGTTATTCATGATGAATATGGACACACGATGCTCTCTCAGTATATCCCTTGTTCGTAATGAAAATGCGTTTCTTAATTGAACTTTCCTCTTACGGCATAAAATATGTTTGTCATACAAATACTTATCGTAATGGTTTATAGAAATAAGTACTTACCAAGATAAACTGCTTCGTATCATCCAAAGCGCGTATTGAAGGGGAAAAAATGAATTCAGATTAGATGACGACGTTTACTAACAATGCGTTTGGCATGCAGAGACGAGATTGGACCGGATAGAACGGGAGTGACAGATGTAGGTGGCTTGAAAGAATTGTGCAAGGTTTTTAAGATTTTAATTTGACATGAGTATTTTAGTAATTTACCAAAGTTGGTCCATATCTATGATTTTTGTTCCACCTGTTTTGGTGGGATAGGAAAAAACACATATTTATCCCACGTCGCACCGAAGGACAACAAGATTTTATTTTTGTCATGTCTTGTACTGTCCCACGTACCAAATGCACCCTGACTGGACTGGACAGACGAGAGTGAGGTAGGCAGGTGAAAGAATTATGTAGTTTCATGATTTTAATTTGACATGGATAGTAAGAGGTTCAACAAAGAAAGCTAAATATTTTGAGAAGACAAGAACGAAAGGTTAAGGGAATGTTCATATGTGAATCATAAAAAAATCATTTGAAGATGCACATGTGAACCCATATGAATAATCTGTAACGTCAATTTACATATGTATCTTCAAATAAGTTTTTCGGGTTTTTTCAATAATTCACACATGAACTTTCTCTTAACTTTCCCTTCTTACCTTCTCGGGGTATTCGGTCTTTTTATTTGTTCCACCTATTTTGGTGGGACAGTCTTGTCATTTCTCGGTTTACTGTCGCACCAAACGTGGGACAACCAGTTTTGTCTTGTTCTGCATACCAAATGTACCCTAAAAAAAACAAAAATACGAGAAATAAACAGACCTTGTTTTCCTTTCTTCTTTTGCGTAACGTTCCAAGAAAGTTTATCCCACAAATGTGCTTCGAATCTTCCCGTCCATCGATGTCTACTCACGCCGCGATATTTAGAACTTCTCTTCACGGTCGTCGGTGAGCCTTGGCCTGTTTCTAAAATTGGCTCGTTTTTGCAGTCGAGTGCAAGTGCGCCCACATCTCTCCGCCTTCTTTTCACGCACCTTTCTTCTGGGGCCTCATGGTTAACCATCGTAATGGATCGCCTCCTCGAGTTCTCTTCGAGCTTTACGGCCATCATCGCCATTGATCGTTGTTAACGGTAAGTGATATCGGTTCTTTTTAGAATATAAAGTGTTATTTTTTGTGCTTTATTGGTCAGTTTTATGATTGTATTTATATATGCTACAAGTGTTTGGCTTATTTGGTTGTATTTATATATGCTAGAAGTGTTTGGCTTATTTGGTTGTATTTATGTTATATTTGATTCGATTATTTCAATAAATTTGGATTTTGGACAGCATTACGACGACCTTAAAATTTGTCCATTATGGGGGTGTTTGAGATTGCTTATAAAAACAATTTATTGACTTATTCCGGTATGACACAGGTAATAAGCACTTTTAAGTGTTTGGATAAACAACTTATACCGGTGTCAAACCAATAATAAGGAGTTTTTGAAGAAATTAAACTCTTCTGACCTATAATAAGTTGATAAGTGATTTTGTAGAAAAGCATAAGTTGTTTCAAATAAGCAATCCCAAACATCCCCTATATAAGTTTGGGTCCCGGTGAGAAGCATGAGAAGGGATGCACACCTTTAGGTTGAGATTCATCAGATCAATCATCGTATCAAGCACGATTCAGGGTAAGTTTGAGATTAAAGAAAAGAAAAACTGAGGGAATACTCGTAACTGTTCGTCTAAGCAATATACACATGTGCATAACATGCACATGTGCATGAAAACCAAATAACATCTTCAATTATTTGTATGCACATGTATATACCGTCCAGATAAATAACTACTAAAGTGTTCTCAGTTTTTCAATTTTTCTGGCTCCCTATATATAATAGTTACAAGTTGCAAGAGCTTAGTAAATGCGAGTCTGTTGGCGATTTAAACCATGGGAATAAGTGATTAAGACATGATGAGAGACTTTTCTTATGTGTGAATCGAAGGTTGCGTGTGTTCTATAAAATAATATGAAATGTGGAACCAAAATAGAAAGGAAATTATGCTTCAATTTGGATGTATCTCTTCTTTAATTAATATTATTGATTAGTTTCTCTTTCATCTTTTTGAAATACTAACGGGTTGTTTATCAAGTGCTTAACCGAGTAAGCACTTACCAGTAAAATTCAACATTATTATTTATTATCGAGTAATACTTTTTTTAATCAAAACGGTATCGTATGCAACAATATATCCGGTAAGCGTTAACTGTGGTAAGACCCATCGCCCTCACTTACCGGGTAAGATTCGGTTCTTGACTTCACTCTTACCGGGTAAGATTCTTGGTTCTTGTCATATTCATCCGATAAGGTAATTTGACTTATTAAGCACTTACCCTGGTAAGTGTTTGGTAAACGGCCCCTAAAGGCTTTTCTGTTTGCGGTTATCTTGTTAAATACTCAAATGGTTTTGGTTTGATGGAATAATTTTGACGTGATATAAACCTAATCTTGTTGTAATGATAATTTTTCATAATTGTTTAAATAATTAGTGTTTTTTTAGTTTTAATTTATAATCATTTTGTTGTTATTGTAACTATTTGTAGTTTGACTATATATTAATAATCTCAGTTGATCAAACTTGATTTTCAATATTTTGCTCGTATATCTCAATTTTCAACTCGAAAGATATGTGAATTTATTTCGATTTCTTATTGTTTTTCTAGACATGAGATTTTTGAGCGTAATATTTCTTGTGAATTTTATATTTTTTAAATAAATATAAATATTTTCACTTAATATGTACTTTATTTAAAATATTTGTTCTATGAATGGATTGCATTTTTGGTCCTTAAAGTTTGTTTAAAGACTAATGAGTCCTTCATAACGGTTGTTAACTAACATTGTTAACTAGAGGGATCATGGATGTTTGAAAATGAAATGTTAGGGACCATTAGTGTAGATAATTTAAATTAGGGACCAAATATAAAATTTGAGAAAACCACAGGGACCACAAGTGTAATTCACTCTAAAAAATGGTACTAAAGTTGCGTGGATTTTGCTGAAAAGCGGCAAATGGCAAAAGTTTCAAAAGGTGAGGATGTATGTTCTTTACCGTGGGAACTCCTGCACCTGATCACCCGTCTCTCTTTCGCGCCAATTTTCTGTTGGCTTCTGCTCTTTTATTATTATTAGCATTTACTCCTGCTTCCATTTCAAAACACCATTCTTCACGTCTATCTTTGCACGATTCATAACAATGGCAGACGATCAATTCTTCAACAACATCTCTCTACTTGATCGCAGTGGCACTGTGAGTTAGTTATCCGTCTTTTTTTTTCAATTCTTCTTCTGTAATTGGATTCAGTTAAGCTTACTTAAGCTATTCTTCAAAAACCCTAATCTTCGTTAGCAAAATGGTGATTGCATATATGCATGCACGATCTTGGATTGGTTTGTTTGTTTTGGATCAATTTTCAATGTGGAATCGGTATTGTTATTGTTGTGCATTGATTTTGCTTTCAATTTTGAAATTGTGTGCATTCGGATTGTGCTTAGCTCATCGGGATCGGTTTGTTTGTTTTAATCAATTTCTGGTATTCTGATTTTTTCCTAGGCTTTTGCTTTCGTATTTTATTGAACTTGTGAGTACTGAGTACTGTTGTTGATCCGAACAGAGCTCCTGGTTTCGTTTGCATTTTGAATTATTGCTGGTTCTCTTTCTCTCTTAACTGTATTTAGAATTCTTTAGGTCAATATTTTAGATTCGATGATGGAACTGGAATTGATGTGATGGCTTCAATTGTGATTGAACGCCTCCCGTTGTAGTTGTATTTGTTAAAACCAGGTGATAATACGCACAATTTGACTCTGAAATGTGATACTTTATTCAATAAATCAAGCTGCCTTTTTATAGGCTTACACAGGAAACAGAACAGCAAACTATCAGCTAAGAAATAGGAACAACTAGGACTAATTCAAAATACTTATTCAAATCTAAACAGACTCAGTCATATGACCGTTTGTAACCAAAGACTTCAATAGTATTAAGGGTTTATTTTTACTCTGCTGTATGTGAACTTAGAAAGGCTAGTTTTGTCCTTAATTTGCACATACGTTTTCTTAATTATACGAAGGAAGAGAAATCTTTGGCAGTCAATCCGATATGTCAAGGGAGAAATAATCATGATCTGATTTTATGTTTGGTGGAAAATTCAGAATACAGGGCTCTTTGAGGTTCATTCAGGGTGTTTACTATGGAAGAAACAAGGGGGTAGTAAATCTGTGGAAGTGGACATTGCTGATATAGTGCGTATAACCTGGATGAAGGTTCCAAGAAGCAACCAGCTTGGTGTGCAGGTTAATAATGGCGTTAAATACAAGTTTGATGGTTTCCGTGACCAGGTATCTTTCCAGGTTCACTGCATTTTTCACTTGGTGTATATGGTATATGACATATATTAATTCTTTTAGCAACTTTGACATCAATGTGCTGATTTATATTCTTGCATAAATCATTTCTGATTGCTTTATGACCATAGATTCGGAAATGTTCTTTTAGTGTTGAAAAGGCTTTTGTCATCTGAATTTTAGTAGTCGCCATTTTCTACTAGATAGCAGTAATAATTACTAAGATCTTGGGCATATTTGACATCGGTAAAGAGTTTATTACTTGTGGGTGATTAACTTCAAAATTTGGATGTCTTGTCTTTTAGGAATGACTATAAATCATTTAACTATATACCTTTTACTTTGACTTATGCCTATAATGATTTCTGGGATTCCAAACCTAACCCATGATTAAAATTTTCTATATATAATGGAATTGAAGAATGCATATATGTTCATTTTATCTCTTATAGGGGTCTGACAGTTCATTGCTTGCGGGTTCTTTTTTGTCATATCCTTGAGTGTTCATATAATTGTTGTATTCTGAAATTTAAGAGGTGATAAGAGTGTCTCATTGTTGATTTTCCCAATATTATGTGTTTGCTATTTGACAAACTCTTGCTTCAGAGCTTCCCCTCGCATATTTCTTACTTGTCCTTGCAGGACGTATCTAGCCTGATCAATTTTTTCCAGAACTCATGTAGCATAACAGCAGAAGAGAAGCAACTTTCTGTTAGTGGGAAGAACTGGGGAGAATTTGATATAAATGGTTGGTCGTTTTTTTTGTTGTTGTTGCCATTGTGAGGTTAGTGCTAAGATTGTTATCACAGAATGTGATGGATTGTGTTCACTTATTCTGGGGTTAAACACCTTAGATTGTGTCGCTTATTTTACCGGCAGCCCCTTGTTGTGAGTCCCCTCCCGGAATTGTCACCAACAGCAACCCTTTTTTAAGCACAGAGCACTTTAAACTCGGCAGAAATGATAAATAAGGAAGTAACAAACAACATGCTTTCCTTTCTTGTGATTAGTTCTTCCTTACGAATTTCACTATTAATAGTAATGATATTGTACAGGCAACATGCTTTCCTTTCTTGTTGGTTCAAAGCAAGCCTTTGAAGTATCTTTAGCTGACGTTTCCCAGACACAGATTCAAGGGAAGGACGATGTTGTCTTGGAGTTCCGTAAGGATGACATTACTGGTGCAAATGAGGTCTCTTCTAGTTAACTTTTCTTCTTTTTGTACATGGGATTATGCTTATATTTCTCCGGGTTTGATGAATCTCTGGAATTGTACACTTGAAGTCTTGTATAGACTTAATGCATCTGTGGAGTTCTAGACTTTATTTTTATTAAGCTCTTTGTTGTTAATGCAGACAGATTCATTGGTTGAGATGAGTTTTCACATACCCAGTTCCAACACTCAGTTTGTCGGGGATAAAAACAACTCTCCTGCACAGGTAAGTTTGTGAATTTCTTGATGGCCATATTTGCTGCTGTGCATCTTAATTTGTAATATACTGACTGCGTTTTATCAGGTATTCCTAAAGAATATACAGTCAATGGCAGTTGTTGGGGTTGGAGGCGAGGAAGCCTTCGTCACATTTGACACCGTCACAATTCTTACTCCAAGGTAGAGTCTCCGGTTGCTTGTGATAGCAGTTATAATTTTTTGTGCCTTTCAAAAGGGTTTACACTAAAGTAACTTCTTAATGTAGGGGTCGATACGATGTTGAACTCCACCTTTCTTTTTTGCGGCTGCAAGGCCAAGCCAATGACTTCAAAATTCATTACAGCAGTATAGTTCGTGTTTTCATCTTGCCTAAGGTTTTTGCTTTACACTTTTGACACAAGACAAAATCTGTAACGCCCCATAGCCGCAGCAAGTTGGCCGAATAACCTGCAAATCAATTTAAATGCACGGTGGGAGTTATCGGTAGCTTGCAACTTTGAGCTTATAAGGAGCTCACAAATCTACTTTTCTATCCATGCATGACGGGTTGCTACACAATCAGTTCTCAGTGTTTACTCCATATAGATTTTCTTGTAGCTGTTGGTTGTTTTCGTTCCTACTTCCTAGTTTGCAGAATGAAGTACGTTGATATTGTTAGGCTTGAGCCTTGCTTATGAGAACCAGCATACTGAAATTTCTCACCCTTCTTTTCTTATGCAGTGTAACACACCCCATACATTTGTTGTCATTACTCTAGATCCTCCTATTCGTAAAGGTCAAACTCTATATCCACATATTGTGATCCAGGTATCATTAATACACTACTTGGAAATTATTTTGTAAACCAGAGGACTGCATTCCTCTAATGATCCGTCTGCTTTTGGTTTGTGCAGTTTGAAACAGATTATGTGGTGGAAAGCAAGTTGGCGTTGAATGAGGACCTGTATTCTTCCAAATACAAAGACAAGTTAGGACCATATTATAAGGTAATAATGGTGAGGCCTTACAACTTTTAGCTACATTTGAAATGAACTTGCCATCAAATAATATTAAAGTTGCAAGTGATTTCTATCAAATTAGTTTTCATCACGCAAATTAGGGTAGTCAGGAGGTAGAGCTGGAGAGGTAGAGGACCGGAGGTAGCTTAGCAATTTAGACTAGTAATGTGCCGTTTCCTTAATTTGGCTATGTTTTTGTTGTACTAAACCTTATCATATCTCTTGTCACACTTTTCACAAGCCAGGGTCTTAACAGAAACAGTCGCTCTACTCTTTGGGGTAGAGGTCAGGTCTAGGTACATCCTACCCTCCCCAAACCCCACCTCCACATGGGTACACTGGTTTGGTTTGGTTTTATACATGCTTCCTTTGATTGATTCTTCAATGAACAGGGTCTTATTCCTGAAGTTTTCACTGTCATCTTGCATGGCTTGTCTAGTAGAAAACTCACCAGGCCTGGGAAGTTCCGTAGTTGTCAGGATGGCTTTGCTGTGAAGTCATCGCTAAAAGCAGAATACGGTCTCCTTTATCCTCTTGAAAAGTGCTTTTTCTTCTTGCCGAAACCTCCTACTCTTATTCTTCATGATGAGGCAGGCACACTATCATTTTATCTCGGTTCATGGAACGAGGGGATTTAATCATTTGAGAACTTCAAAACTTGTGAGATCCGTGAGAACTTCTACCTTATGGTTGTGTTTCACATGATTTTCTTTTATCTAAGGATAGTATTTAATGTATTGATTAACATATATTTGTTGCACTAATCTCTTCTACGTGTATTTTTTGTTTCACAAACACGCTAAAAAGGTTCATAGTGTGAACTGAGTTCATGTAAAACAAACACATTGTGAAACAAATATACGTTAATCAGTACATCAAATTCTAGCTATAAATGGAAAAAAAATCATATGAAATAGCACATGATGCACCAAAGATCTCACGATTTATAGAGTTCTCAAAAGAAGATCCTCCATCAAATGGTTTAACTTGTAACTTTTCTTGCTTCGTTTTCTTTGCAGATTGAATACATACAGTTTGAGAGACATGTTGCTGGAGGATCAAACATGCATTACTTTGATCTTCTTATTAGACTCAAGATGAAGCAAGAGCATCTTTTCCGCAGCATCCAGAGTAACGAATATCATAACCTTTTTGATTTTATCAGGTGAGTGTTTTGAATGTTTGTTCAGTGTTGAGATCGTTGAAATGCATAACTGAGTTTATGCTTTTCAATTGATGCAGTTCAAAAGGTCTAAAAATCATGAACTTGGGAGGTGGCCAAGCTACAGGTGGTGTTGTAGCTGCTCAACAGGATGAGGTGAATGAAGCTGATGGAGAAGAGAGTGATGAGGAGGTAAACCGTAAGCCTGTCTCTTTTGTCTTTCTTTTACTTGAATGTGCGAGAATATGTGGAACTCAATTAGATCGCTCTCCAAAAGGTCCCTTGCGGTGAACAAAGGTTCCAACATATTTTGAAGAGAAACTGTCCAAGTCTAACCGATGGGGACTCTAACAGCCCCCTCCAATAGAGGCTAGACCGAAACAGATTGTAGAGTGTTGAGATGGGGCTAGACAAGTATAGATTGCCCCAGAGTGTCGAGCCCCACTTGTGGTAGACATTGACATTGATATAATGTGAAAATATGTGGAAACCCATTAGGTTAATCTCCAAAAGAACCCTTAAGGAGAAAAGGAAGCTTCCAATATATTTTGAAGAGAAATTATCCAAGTCTAGCCGATGGGGACTCTAACACATCCCCTCCAATGCATGGAGGCTAGAGACAGGCACATATTGTCTCAAAAAGTGTCGAGGAGGGGCTAGACAAGCACAAATTGCCCCAATCCCTATATTGGTAGACATTAGCTCTGATATCATGTGAAAATATGTGGAAACCCATTAGATTACTCTTGAAAAGAGCCCTTAAGGAGAGAAGGGAGTTCCAACGTATTTTGAGAGAAATGATCCAACTCTAGTGGATGGAGACTCTAACACGCTCCCTCCAATGGAGGTTAGACGGGCACAGATTGTCCTAGAGTGTCGAGTCCTTATGCGATAGACGTGGCACCATATCAAATGAGAATATGTGGAAGCCCATTAGCTTACTCTCCAAAAAAGCCCTTGAGGAGAAAGGAAGGTTCTAACATATATTGGAAAAAAAAGGGTCCAAGTCTAGCTAATGTGAGATCTAACAGGCTGAAAATGATCCCTGTCCTCTTAAATTATGGTATGTTTGTCTTCGTTCATTTGCTATATATATGTGTGTGTGTGCTACCTTTTGTGTAAGCCGGTGAAATCTCACAGAAAGAAGCCAAAGCATCTTTGAGTAGGAAGGGTAAAGAGAAGAAGAAAGAGGATCCAAAGGAAACAATGAGTGGTTTCATGTTCTTCACACATCTTGAAAGAGAGGTAGTTTATAATCTTGTCTGCTTATGGTTTCGTTCAATTTTTTTTCCATAAATTAGGTTGTGTATATTTTAAGAACCTCAAAACCAACTATGCATGATGAATATTTTAGGATTTTTAACCAACTCTTTAACACCCTTTCTAACCGCGGGAGAGAGGGAGGGTGAAGGAACTTGGCCCATATACATAATATCTTTGAATGATTAAAGGTCTGTTTGTTAGCAGCTTAATGAGCTTAATGGGACTCGGAACTTATTCGGTCAACTATATATGACTGTTTGATAGTAGTTTATATAAATTGGCTTATTCAGTGAGTTTCTAGGAGGAACTTTATGCAGAAAGTCAAGTTTTTTCCAAACCTGCCTTCCCGGCTTCCATCTATGAAAAAACCCTTCCAAACAAAAATATTCTCAATCTATACTGACAGATTAATCCACACAAACAACTTTATCCATTCAGGACTTAATGGAAAACCAACCAAACAACCCCTAATTCAAAAACCTTGAGCTTGCAAAACCGCCTGCCACTGCTCCAACCTCTCATTCACCTCTACTTTCGACTCTGCTGGCAGTTCGAATTAGAAAGCATGAAATGCAGGTGTACTGATCCTTAATATGTCTAGCTTTTCTTGTATCTTTCAGTTCATACGTACGTACATACATACATACATACATACATGCATGCATGCATGCATACATACATACATAACATACATACATACATACATACATACGTACGTACGTACGTACATATGTGATGATTCAATATGTTTTGACTTCAGAATGTGAAGAAACACAGCCCTGGGATTACAATTAAAAATCTTGCTCGCATTCTTGGAGATCGATGGGATAAATTGTCAGGTTTGTTAACTTGACATGATCGACTTTCGAGTGTTTTTAAATGCATTCTTAAGTCAAAAGTTTGCAGCCGAAGAGAAGGCGTCATACGGAGTAAGGGCGTGGGAGTGGGAGTGTGAGAATGAGAATAAAAATCAAAGCAGCAGCGGCAGGTCTAGTGACTAATGACAGCATATAAATGCTGTGAATAGATTTTAAGGTACATACCAGTGTGTGAATACAGAAAGTGCATATAGGTATATTCATATATGAATTGTTGCATAGTGACTCATGACAGCATATAAATAGTGTGAATAGATATTG